AGTTACAAGCTTTTTGTGTAAGGATGTTTTATCTAATTGTAGGTAAATATAATATATCGACACTCTACAGTTACTGTCTCTAACAATCTAAGGCTGTGTTGCACCATTCCACTTTAACTTTGACAAACGTCAAAAACCTGTCAAATTCCATACAAAAACACCGATTATCGTCATAGTTACGGTCAACGTTACAGTCCTCTCAACTTAAGCTGAGAATTGCATTTGTGTGAGTGCACACCGATAGTGTAGAGTGGCAATCGGCTTGAAGCGCGGCGCGTCCCGCGCATGGTTTAAACCGGTTTATTTATAGCAAGCGGCTTGAAGCGCGGCGCGTCCGCCACGCACCGCTTCCTTGCCGCTCACATACTTCACTTCACCCCCGGTACTGGTAGCAGATACGTGTAATTTTATGTAATTGTGTTCCAAATATTAGTGAAATGGCTCCTACTGTAAGTGAATTTCCTGTACGAAATCCATTAAGCAGCCAAGTGAAAGAAATTTTATGCAAATTGAATACGTATTTTAAAGGTGTGAACGAAAAGTTTTTAGTCTGTTTTTATTTTGTAATTTTATAAAGTTTGTCTTTTTGTTGTATTTTGTAAGGCTGGCTGGACGCCCTCTCTATAAACGGTGCTCGCAGAATATCAGCGTCGAGGTACTTCGTGCCTTGGCATATGCTGAGCGAGGACCTGTTTTTATTTATTTAAAAGGATGTGTCAAGTAGAGATGAAACGGATATCCGGCACCTATACGGTAGGCCGGATATCCGGCCTAAATTTACTATCCGGCCGGATACCGGATAGTAGCTCACTATCCGGCCGGATACCGGATATTTAAAATCTACGAAAATTTCCTTTAATAAAATGAAACACAATAATATTTGAGTTAAATATCAATAAAATGGCTTATAATAATGACGGTTTTTATCTAAAGTCCAAAAAGTTACAAAAAAGCCATATTAGGGCCTTTCAAAAAACTAATTTCCTTTCTGGGCTATTCACTCTAATGACGAATACATAAATACAAAGTAAATATATTTTAATGTCGAAATATTGCCAAATAAAATAGGCGATCTTTTTTTCACTGAGATGGTCTGATGACATACAGGGTCACTTTGAAATCGTTGGCATCCTTTTAATATAAGACTACTCATGATACATAGTGCATTCCCCAAATATGAGACAAATCCAATGACTTTTTTTGTCATTATTTTAACTATGTATTTGTATTAGTGTGCTCTTAAAAAGAGTTTAAAACTATTGTACAGTCAACAGCACATCATTCTATACATTTTGTTGCAAAATAACACTTAATACATTGAAATAAGATGCCACAGTATGAAGATTGATGTGCTGTCGTCTGTACAAGATTTCAAATATTGAAATTTTAATTCATTTGATTCATATTTGGGGAATCATGAGTAGAGTCTTATTTTAAAAAGAATGCCAACGATTTCAAAGTCACTCTGTATAATGCAGTTCAGTCAGATTACGCAGCAAGTAAACTAATTGAATTTTCGCTATTCAATCACATACTCACGATGGCAACCGAAATCGCCCGAATTGATCTGCCCCTTAGGCGAGTGGCAAAATCTGACATTCTATTCGAACGAATTCGATTTTCGAAAAGTGTGACTTGTCTAGTCTACTAGACTCACTGATCGCGTTCGAAGCACCTGTGCGGCACTAAACTCGTTACGACATGCAACATGACAATGGGACAACTATCCGGCCACCGGATATCCGGCTATCCGGCCTAGTAGCTCGCCGGATATCCGGTATCCAGTATCCGGTAAAAACAACTATCCGTTTCATCTCTAGTGTCAAGTGTCGTTACATCGGCCCAATTGGTAGCAAGTGTTTTATAGACTTCCTTTTAATAAAACATTAATTTTATTTGTATGTGTTTTACTAACGGTACTTTTGGCGATCACTCACACAAATGCAATTCTCAGCTTAAGTTGATAGGACTGTACGTGGTGCAACCCAGCCTTAATCTATTAAAAGCGAAACTCACTGACTCACTCACTCATCAAGAAATCTCGGAAACTACAAGTGCTAGGAGTTTTACATTTTGCATGGGGGTTCCTTTTAGAACGTAGGTGCTCACTCAGACGGGATTTTACAAAACTCCACCCCTAAGGGGGTAAAACGGGATCCACGCGTACGAAGTCGCGGGCGGCCGCTAGTTCCTAATATATGTAGATGAAGGTACATCAAGCTCTACACTCTTTATGTAGTTGTAGCAAGAGTGACATTGCAACAAAAATATGTTATCTAATGTGTGGACTAAAATTTGGTTAGTTTGGTACTATACGATTTGGGACTATTTAGTTCTAAATCATAATATAGAATGTCCAAGGATCATCATTTCAACCACAGGACGTGTCCAATACTGAACATAGATCAGCCCCTAATGGTTTTTAGATTGGCCGATTAGAAGCTTGCATCCTGCGGCTTCCTGCAACTTTAATGTGGTCATCTGTCCACCTTGTGGCTGCGCTTTACTGGTAAATGGCCTATATTCCAGGACTTATCCAATTCACTCAATCATTTAAAATCAGGCTTTGAAGGATTTTAGAAGTTCTGCGCATGGATTTCAAAAGTTTAGGGAGTCAGAGTGAATAAAGTCATTAAACAATTTGAATTTGAATTAGAGTTTTATTTAGTTATCAAGTCCATTTTAGACTAAGTACCTACTTAGGTATTTATAACCTTTTTTATAAGCAACTGTGACGGGCGTTAGATAAACGAATAACAAAAAGTTAGCATCTTTTTGTTATTCGTTCGTCTAACAACCGTTTTCACAAACGATGCTTGCTTAAGTGAAGCAGCAAATCGATCGCACAGCGTTGAATAGAGCTCTGTGATTGGTTCGTGTGTCACCCTGTGCGTCCACGCGCACTGTGAGACCTCATAGTAATGTTTGTGAATACGGGCGTAAGCGTTTTATGAAATTATTAAGTAGGACATCTAATTTTCGACTACTTAGACTTTATTTATAAGCAGTTTTGTTCGCAACTGTGAATGCTATCTTTTCGTTATTCGTCCGTATAAGACTGTTTCTATTCACTTAATACTTTTTACCTTTTTTACGACCGTTTGCCTTTGCGATAGCTATAATCATCGGTATAAAACTTGAGTAAACTAAAACTTTTCTTTTAGTGCAGACATGCAACGCATAAAGCACTGTGTACATTAGCATTTTCACTTTAAAATGGTAATTTTTGTAATTAACAGCCCTACCTTTATAAGGCTGTGTTCATACTCGTACGTTGGAAAGCGCTAAAGGTAAATAAATGGCCTGGCTTTCGATTTTTTGTACCTACTAAAGTTGCTTTTATGATTTAAAGCTGCTTTAAACCAGGCCAAACAAACTACATATGTATTTGAACAGTATTTGCGATGAATTACGTAGTTTACATAATATAAAACTTCGAGTGTAGTGTCTCCAACCTTCAGAGGAGTGGGTACAACACGGGCATTTGACATGATTTTTGTTGCAAACACCCAGTTTGATACAAAAAGGTGTCCATGCACACAAATAAATAAATACTAAGTATAATTTTTTGCTTTTTTTTTGTAAGACAAAGCTTATATGTATTATCTTCGTAATTTATCTTTTAAATATAAAAGGGAAATACCACTCACTGATTATAATCACGAAATCTCAGAACCTATAACACCTACAAACATGAAATTTGGCAGGTAGGTTCCTTAAAGGGTGTAGACATCCTTTAAGAACGAATTATACGAAAGTAACGTACCAATTTGCTACATTAAGGCCACCCCTAAGAGGGTAAAAAGTGGGTTGGAAGTTTATATGAAAGTCCTATGTTTTTACGCATCCGAAGTCGCGGGCGCTAGTTATTTATATTGTCGCTCTTATTTTTTTTTTTGTATTGTGCAGGAATCGAACCCATGACTATTTCCATAATATTCAGGTACACAAAGTACCGGTCAACCAGCCCTCAAATTTCCCGGTAAAGTTCTCAAGAAATACACAACAAAGCAGGTAAATGTTACAAGTAAAGAATTTGTAAGACTTTTAAGAAAGTGTTCTATGAAATATGAACTACTGCGTTTGTGAGGTTTCTTACCAGCAAACCTTGTGTTTCTTTTCAAGTGTTAGTTTATGTAATGACTTCAAAGGAACGACTACAAATGCGAAGGGGAAAGTAGGATATTAAGCTTTTAAAATATCGATATGTCTGTCAAAACTATGTATCTGTCTGCCTATTTCGATTTGCGTGAGAGGAACTTAGACTTCGAAACTTTGGATAAAGTTGTAGAGAAATACTTACCCCCTGATCAAATCGTAACTCAACATTAAAAGAATCGCGTTATGTTCACGCATTTTCGTTAAATTTCATTTCCATCTCGTGATTTCATCTCATATATGATGTATACTACCAGAAGGAGTGTGAAGTTTATCTGTTTAGTTGTTTTTTCCATGATAAGATTGTTGTTATCTTATGCTAATTGCAGACTTATCAACTCGGAAAGCGATCAACACCGTATCGTCTTTCGCGAGCTGTCATCGCCTTTTGCGCACTGTCAATTGCGAGGCGAGGCGTTTATGTTACGGTGCGGATAAGTGTGCGTTGCAGTATGGAGTTTCATACAAAGAATATTGATCGCCTCGAGTTGATACGGTTACGATCCCTTTCCGGGTTGATAGATGTGCGACGTCCTTAAATCTTTGTGCTGTCCAAATTTTTTATACAGTGTGTTTGGGATAGGGCTAGCGATAATTTAAGGCGATGTTATTAATGTCAATTTTATTGACAAAAATGCCCCCATATGTGGGCCTGTGTGGGTGTTTAATTTTTTATGTGAGTCTACATCAAAATTGTTTGTATTATGTGCCCGTCTTACAAATAAATAAAAAAGCGATAATTTAAGACGATGGCGATGGGATAGCCCAAACACACTGTATATCATCCTCAAATATCAAACTTCCAAGTCAACGCATTCTAATACATAAAAAATATCACTTACCGCCTCGAAGCTCGCAAAGGAGAGTGAAGTTGCCTCCTTCTTCTAGAGGGCCGACCACACCAGCCACGTCCCTCCCTGCCTCGTCGTAGAGCAGCAGTTGATGAGGCGGCACTGTAACAAACAAGATTTATGCATTTTATTTGTCTATTTATATTTGTTGCACATAATCATCTAAACTAAACCCCGAGGACGAGGAAGACCCCGAATCACATGTAAATAAGGACCTTAAAGAAGCCCAAGTCAACAGCGAGACGACCCAGGATCGAGCTGCCTGGAGACGCATGATTCAAAATCAAAAATATTTATTCAGTTTAGACCACAAGTGGCACTTATGAACGTCAAATATAGCAAACAATAAAAAGAAAAGGTAGCCTTTATGGATTAGGAGGACCGACCCCAAATAAAATGGGAATGGGCCAGGCAAAGAAGAAAATACTTGTTGCACATAAACACTGTACAGTGGCGGACTTAATGCTAGGTGGTATTCTCTACCAGTCAACACAGGTCAAGCTGAGAAAGTAAGGCGGCGTAAATTACAACAATAACGACAAAAAATTATATTGTATGTACTATGTATTAACGCATGAAATGTTCAAAGATATTAGTTGTCGATTTCATAAAACGTTAAATCAATGTTGTAAATCAATGTTTTTTTTTTACATTCATGCGAAACAAAAACTGAATTTGAATGTGGACTGTAACAATATTGAGTTTCCGATATACTTATCAGTACAGTTGGAGCGTAATGATCAATTTAAATCTATGCGGGTCATGTTGTTGTAGGGACTCGGTTACAAAACATTTTTATGTTCCACTGTAACATTTGAAGCAGGGATGTTATGGATATCCGTAACCGTAACCGAAACTTTCGGATATCCGAGATAAAAAAATATCCGAAACCGTAACCGTCACCGATTCAAAAGTTTCGGATAGTTTCGGATGTAGACAGTTTAAATTGTTTTTGTATAGCATTATATGTAAAGGCATAACAGCCTGATTTACCTTTATAAGTGATGCCGTCTAGTATCAATTTTCATTTTTTTATTACTTTTTATTCGATGTAAAGTGTGCGACCATGAATGAACCGTATTGGACAACTATTGCAAATTGCATTCTAAAGCACAGATATCCGTAACCGTAACCGAAACTTTCGGATATCCGAAATAAAAATATATCCGTAACCGTATCCATAACCGAAACTACATTAGGTATCCATAACATCCCTAATTTAAAGTTTCACTCGTTGTCATTTTAGTACAAAGTATATTTCAGTACTAAGCGATCAAGTTCTGTTAAAAATCTGTTGCGGAAAAACTGAAAATTCTCCATATTTGTTGAAAATATTATTATTTCGCTTTTTTTAGGCAGGTTTTTTGTCCCATGTTCTAGATTAAACTCTATCTATTAGGAATTAACAATTGCTCATATTATATTTATGAAAACCGAAACTAAATTCATCAGATTTCATACTAGAAATGGAAATACATTTTCCATTCCACATAATATCTGACTTCGCAATGTTAGTAATTCATTTACGAGAACGTGTATTTACTTCGTAAACTATTGTGGAGCTGCCTATTTATAAATTCAAATAACATATCAAAATACGCAATGAAATAGGGATTTATAAAGCTTAAGATTCTACAATAAAATACAAAAATGTGTAGGAAGCCGAAACTGCCTACTCGTAGCTCGCATTATCCTACTAATATTAAAAAGGCGATACTTAAATAATATTACGCCCGTATTTACAAACATTACTATAAGGTCTCACAGTGCGCGTGGACGCAAAGAGTGACACACAAACCAATCACAGAGCTCTATTCAACGCTGTGCGTTGGATTTGCTGCTTCATTTAAGCAAGCATCCTTTGTGAATACAGGCCTTAATCATTTGGAAAAGAATCTGACAAAGGTAACCGAGTATTTTTCACTGGTTCTTCATAATACTGGCCTAGAACTTTCCAAGTCTCCCAACTTCTTCTACATTTCTTTTCATTACAACAAAAAATAGTCAGATTGTAGGTATGTATGTAAAGCTTTTTCGGTGTGTCACTCCTGTCCCCTCGCTTCTAAACACCCCTGATCAGTGAGTCAGTGAGTAGTGGTAATGGAGCTTTCCTATATTCTAGGTTTTTTCCCACAACTTAACCCGCGTGAATTTTGCTACGTAACAGAAACACTTTAGCGCGTCCCTTTCAAAAACCGGGATAAAAACAATCCTATGTTTTCCTCTGGGTCTTAAACTATCCATAGACTACATTTCACCTAAATCATCTCAGTAGTTCGAAGCATGAAAAGGTTACACTTTGGCAGCCAGAGTTACTTTTGCATATAAGTAATTTGTATGGATGAATGGTAAATCGATTGCCATCTTATCTTATTTTATTGGATATAGGGTCATCTATCTCTGCATTGGAGACTAACCTTTTTTTCGGTGGTAAAAATGCATTGAGTTAACCCGCTGCTGTGGTTAGGCAGTGGGTTATGTGGGGCTCTCCCCTCCAGAAGGAAGGGGCCTACCCACTAAAAATCCACCATCTCCATCTCGCTGAGCATAAGTGGGAGCCGGTGTAGCGAGGCCTTTCACGACATGTTCCACCTATGCACAGACCACAGATCACAGAAACTAAAGGGAGATGTGACAAGGGGGCGGGGCCGGTGTCGCAGCAATATGCCCAAAAATGCTGCAGACGTCATAATGTAAACAGTTTACATTGCTTGCGTAGTACCAGGCCTGTTCATCTCCGCGAGTTTACATCGAAAACAAAACACGCACGATGGCCCACCTACAGGATACTATTCGACAAGGCCTCACATACGAGCGAACTTTGACTCACGCACGCGTATTCTTGTGTATGATGGAAGAAAATAAAGAAAATGGTGTACTAAATACTGTGCAGTATTTAACTGCCTAAATAATAATAAAAACACAGAATGTACTTTTTTAAGTTGCCTCAAGACACTGAGAGGTAAATAAGTAGTTAATATTATTCATGATAATTCATGCTAAGTCATGTATTTCCTCCGCCATTTTGCAATGACATTGAGCATACATTTTTTTAAATACTTTCGCGAAGTAAAACTTCTGTACGTAGTACTTATTATTATTCTGTGGTAGTACTAAAGATTATTCGAACAAACTGATACCACAGTGGATAATAAGCACATATTTTGATTACTTTATGTGTGTGAATTTCCAATGCGACACTGAGTTTCGAACTCAGCGCATTAGTTGGCATCTCTCTATATCTCTATGGCGCAGACCATCCGCTATGAGTGCAGAATCCATCTTTAATTGAAGACTAACCTAACCTGATAATGGAAATATTCAAACTCACCAACAACGTTCAACTTGATCTGGAAGTTCCTCGTGGGCGAGTTCTTGAAGTCGACCCTGCACCGGTATATGCCTTCATCATCCAGCTGTATGGCGTCCACGGTCAGTGACGAGGGTCTGGACATCGTTACGAAGTACGCCCGCCGCCCGAAGGCTAGCGGGTCCGACCAGTGCAGCGCTTTGTTGAAGCTGCGCCCGCGCACGTCGAAACTGGAAAAGAAAGGGTAATTAGATATATTTCTTCACTCACAACGGAGATGTCCGAGGTAAATATACATATCTATTTATCATTTATTTGCATAATATATTAGCATCATACAAAACAATCTCGAGAATCAAGCTCCCAATGAGCATATCTGTCAATGTCATGTCAAAAATAACCAATCATGCAGCATTTGGACCTCGCGTCTACGTATTGCCATCTGGCGGATTTTTCAAACGCGAAAATCCTTATTGAAACTGGGTAGGGTGCAACATGGACATTCGACATAAGCTTCGTTTTGTCCACGTGCAGGTGCACCCTAAGGCCTGCCTATTAGGAAACTCGATTAAGGCCTTCGAGCATTGTGTCGGGCCTACTCTTACCTGATGGAAAGTAATGATCGAAAAATCGAGCTTTGCCCAGAATGGAACACATAGGAACTGACTACTATCATCATCATTATGGCATTATGATCATAGTGGTAGCTACTCAGGCAGGAGGACTAGAATAAGCCCTACCCACCACTATGATAACCAGAAAATGTTGCCCATACTGGGAATAGAATACGGGACCCCCTGGGTCTGAGACAGACAGAAGTACTTATACCTATCAGGGCTATCATTCATCATTTCAAAAAAAAGTTAGGTAATAATATAATAGATGCCAAAAAGTCTAGAGCCCCAATTCAAAAGAACATAATTTTTATACCATACAATTTTCTATGGAAAGCGAGAAAATTTTCTAAAAAAAGTAACAAGATGTTCATACGTTATTTAAGATATACCAAACCATATATTTACCTACCTACTCTCATATAAACTTGAACTGGAAGCGTGCCAGCGTGTCGTAATACATAACTTAACTACACATATAAAATGAATGTATTTTTCAAAACCACAACCTTATCTGAGGCCTTAGAGACCGCGCACACTTTATACTTTGGCGACGAATTACTTTAATTATTAAAATCGCCGATATTTTTAACTTCTACCCCATGGACCTATAAAAAAAGGCGGACGGAACTCGCGCTACAACAAAACTGTGACGCAAAATTTTGGCGTTTGTCTATTGTGTGAGTGAATTTAGGGATGCCATGTTAGCCAAAACATTTTACCCATTTATTTTAAGAAAAACATAGATCGGCAGATTTTACTTGGAAATGTAGACAGAATTATTCCGTGCCATTTTAAAAGGATGAAAGGTGTATGCGTTGAGGTAGGCGCGAAATTTTCAATGTTCAAATTTTCTTACATTGTTTGCAAGTCAGTGTGTCAGGGTATGTACATAATGTTGATCAAAAATGATTCACGCAGTTACAAATTACGAATCTTGTGTACATTATAATCATAATCTTATGCATCATCAATATATTATTATTATCTCTGATAGATTTTTTTTAACATACAACCTGACACTGACTTGCAATCAATGTAAGAAAATTTGAATTTCGCAGTTCCACATTTTTGGGAAGGATCAAATTTGCCTATGAAAATATATCCCATTAAAACACAATTATTATGATAAATTATTTTATTTCCATAGTATGCGTAATACATAACTAAAAAGTCCTAAAATCATTATTAATTTCCCATATTTCGGGTAATTTTCCCACGTAAATAACTGAGAACACTGGTCTTTGACGTATTATTTTTTCGAGTGAATGACGTTTGATTTCAATTAATTTCAATATTTTAATGTCGGGAAATAAGTGATTGGATTATTATTTTGCCTGTGAAATGTGATTCCTTAATTTTTGTTTGTTCGAACAGAACGGTTTTTACACAATTTCATCACACAAGACATGTCGTATTCGTGTTGTTTTTTCGCTGCTTGAATGTGTCAACTGTGTGAAGTTTGCACTCGAAGTGGTGTAACAGGGTGTGAATGTGTGCGTGCCGGCCTGTACGTACAGGCAAGCTGGTGTATCCTAATGTCACAGTATTTTGTTGATGAGAATCCGTCCGACTTTTTTTATAGGTCCATGTTCTACCCCCTTATTAATAAAAGTTACACCCTAGTTGAACTCTGGCTTAAATTGTCATTTAGTAAGGGAATGTCATTTTAATGCAGGGTTCATCTCTTATTAAAGTGACTTAACACTTATGAGCTAACTCAATGTTCCAAACTGTTTTCAGTTAACTTCAAATTGCGACATGGTACAACAACATTAAATACTTTTCATTCGATTATTTACTGTCGTAATTATTTTAGCCCTCCGTCAACTCATTATGAAGTAAGTTCCACTCTTTAAACTGAGTGCCTAAGCATTATTGGGCGATGCGGTGCATTGTTATAATTCAACGATACTGTAAGGTCAAATGGCAAAAATCGGAGCTAATACCCCAATATTGATAGTAGTGCCCTCCTGCCAATGTCATATTCGGGACACTTCAGTGTTGTCTAACTATATCTATCTTTACATCTCAACAACAACACATAATAAAGTATCGAGTGTGCTCGCACCCTTAAATCCTGTCGTATTTATCACGAGAACAAGCATTAAACCGGCACACACGATCGCGTCTCTCGCCTCGTTACGCCGCTATTTGCCTTAGGCCGATTACACACGGACGACTGGCTCTAAAATCTCAAAGTTATGGCCAGCTGATTCGAGGTAACGTTTGAAACTAAATGTAGAATGTAAATATTGATTTCCTTTCCAAATCGTGTGTGGTTTTTAAATAGGAAAACGGATCTAGACCCAAGTTCAAGCAAAGGAACTGGGTAGCCAGCGCCAAGTGTAATATTATAAAATTATCAAAAGCATCCTCTTGAAAAAAGTAGTAATAGGTAGACTTTAAAGGTTTTCTGTGTCAGTGAAAAATGAATAAGACTATTAAGTTTATCAAGATACTATTTGAATTAAATACTTCAATATTAATATTGTGTGTCAAATGATATAACAGGCGGCCTTATTAATATGATACAAATAATAAACAACCTGAAAAATATGAGTGTTAGGCAGAGGCAAATAAAATAATAATTAATATTAATTCACCTTGTAATGAAATTCGAATAAGAAATTAAATACTTATTCAGTATATAAAATATTTTCTTTAATACTTACATATTTTTATGGCTTCATATTTTCTTATGGAATCTTTGGGGCAATAAATTAAAGGGAGAAAATTGATAACATGTTGTCCTCATCAAAGCCACTCATTTTTATGGCTTCAGTAAAATATAGCTAAATAAATATAGGCGTTGTTAAATTAAATTATATTACGAATTATTTATCATTCATAAAAGATAACCTTTGCCCGCATTATTATTCGCGTACGAAAAAAACAGGTTTCTTATTGAGGTCATCGGTTCATCAAGCACGCACCCATTCATCATCACGTAGACACTCTTAAAGGTACTTCATTGAATTTTGTCACAGCTTGCCTCAAATGGAGGTCGAACCTACGACTTTTTTGCTAGCCTGTAGTTGCTCATACCGCTGAACTACAGTTTTAGTTGGTATAAGTAGCTATACGGTACTCAAGTAGTGTATTTTTTTTTATCCACAACGAGGAAGCTCTTGGTCTGTATCTCACCTGATGGTAAGTGACGATCAGGCCGAAGGTGGAAGCGAGCTTCACCCGGAATCCTCAACCACAGAGGAACTGGCTATCTTACCTCTAACTGCCGGAACACAATAATGCTGTTAACATTGTTGTTATGGCGACAGACTTCGGTAAGATGGTGGTAGCTAGCCAGGCGGACTTAGAAAAAGCCCTACCACCAACCAAACCGAATAGAAAAATCTGCCCCCACTGGAAATCGAACCCGGGACCACTGCGTCTGAAGCAAGTGGTCTTACCACTAGACCACAGAGGCGGTTAATAAAAATTGCAATAAATATAAAATAGAACTTATATTTAAACTGCAAATAGCAAACCAACAGCAAAAATATAAGTTTTAAACTATTCCATTGATTGGCAACTTTAAATTTAACTAAAAAACTCCCGGCGCTACTACCCTCATAAAAACTGTATCGGGGATTTAAATATTTAACACTGAGCCCGGTCAGAGGCCAGTAACTTTGCTTTAAACGGCCTATTTAGTTGATAAATCCTTTTACTGACGTTTAGAGCCTGCATTATTTATGAACAAAAATAAAAATAAAAAACTAATGAAACAGTTAAGTAAATACCAATTTGGTGGCTTGGACTGGTCGTTAGTGGACTGTAAGACTAGCAGTTGCAGGATTGGAACCTGATGGTAGCACGTATCAACAGTATCATAGATCTCAATTATATTAATGAGGATTGTAAAAGGTGCTATCTTGCAACAAATAACTTAAATTAAATCATTTATTAATAATTTTCCATACCTACTATGATGTTATGAAGAGGTTCAGTTTGTAAGTTTTTTAGTTTCTTTGCAGGAAGTAATTTCTGGATCTACTGAATAGATTTTGAAATATCTTCCAGCAATAGAAAGCTACATTATTTAGTGCTAAGGCACTAAATAATGTAGCTAAAAATGCTAGCCTAAGGGCTAGCATTTTTGTTTTTCTTAATTCATTTCCTTGTATGCGTGTTTGTCTTGTTGGTTGTCCTGACCTGATAGATAATAACTAAAGAGAAAAATGCAGAAATCCTCGCGTGCGAAGTTACCGGCAAAAGCTAGTTTTAAATAACTTTATATCCACAAAATCCAATACACCAAAACCGCAGTTATGCGGTCAGTTTATTAATGGTTATTTGTATGGATGTTAATTAGTAAAGTGACCTTAAACAGTTTAGTATTCATTAAATTCATTAATTAATACGCGACACTAATCAATGGTCGCATTTCGGTCACCATTAAACGGATTTTCGATCGTGTAAGAAAGAAAGAAAGAAAGAAAGAAAAAATGTTTATTCAGTATCATCAGTTTTCGCCTTTTAATCGTTAATTGTTGACTATCGTTTGAATACTGTAATAAAATTGATATTTGACACATTTTTATCAGAAAAACTATGTTACTTGGTGGAATCAAAATCAAATCTTTACCATTTAAGAAACAAATGAAAACCTA